ATTAACTTGATTAAATCAATACTCTCTCTCTCTCTCTCTCTCTCTCTCTCTCTATGTATGTACTGACTGAACTACCCTTTCAAAAACCACGTGACTTACACTTAAAATTTAATTGCGAAACATCGCGTTAAGTTAATAATTATTTACATTAGATTATTTTTGACACCTTAAGAATAAATAACATTTTTTTTCTAAATATCTAAATATATATTTCTAAATATGATTTCTAGGTCAATCAAAGTTTAGGAAGTTAGCCAGGCAAATAAATAAATTGAAATTTTTATTTTATATTACAATAATAGGCCGTCCATTGAAATAATACGCAACGAATTGAATGATACGTTACGCGACTTCGCTGTACAGACCATAGACTTCGCGTTCAATGTCTGTTCACACAGTCTGTACACGTGTGTCACCTATAAAACGGTCGGTGCTCTCAATCAGCAATATGTGGCTCATCATAGAGGGGAACCAGGCTTTGATACCGATGCCACTCAGGGATGGCAGTGTATAGTCAGCAGTAATACGGCTTTGGATCAGTTGGTGGTAGGCATCGACTACCAGACCGGGTCCCTACTGGACGTTATTTATGCGCACAGACATCGTGTGGTCATATTTAAGTGGCAACAAGTTTTAAAGCATCAGGTTAGTGATACGTGATCAAGATTATCTTTTTAGTGTTAGCATTTAAAAATAAATATGTTTATAAATATTTCAAATATTTACTCTATATCTGGAAATAATTATAAAAAATTAAATTATCTAGATAAAAATATAATGAGAAAATAAACACATAAGTATGGTAGATATATAATTAAATTAAAGGGGAAGATAATTGTTACCGATAATTATAATCAATTGCAATATTTAATGATAACATATAATGCTGAAATACTGTATTACAGTTTTTAAAAAATAATTATACCTCTACTTTATTTAAATATTACATACTTTTTTATATTAGTGAGAATTTAGCAAACTCATAAAATATATACAATGTAAATATATTTGTTTGCTTACTAAACATACAAATGTGCAATATAACACTGTATTATTAATTAATTTATAGACAACGGAGTGGGATGTCATAAAAGGGGCCCGTAAGGCACTGGAGTTAAACAAAACTGTAATTTTGGACCAAAACCTTGTGTTTCCCATAAATAACGTCCGGAAAGCTAAACGCGTGGACACTATCGGCGCAATGGCCATGAAGGACATACGCCGGGCAGTGATGACCCAGACCAAATACTGGTCCATTTGTCAAAAGCTAACCCATGGTGGTGACATACCCGGCCAAATTTGGTGGGACGAGTGTGTAGCCGGTGCTGAGAAAT